AAAATACAAAAATTAGCCAGGCATGGTGGCACACACCTGTAATCCCAGCTACTCAGGAGGCTGAGACAGGAGAATCGCTTGAACCCAGGAGGCAGAGATTGCAGTGAGCCAAGATCATGCCACTGCACTCCAGCCTAGGCAACAGAGCAGACTCCATCTAACAAAAAAAAAAAAAAAAAAAAGGAAAGAGGGGGGTGAGGTAGTGTAGTTAGTAACCTGAGAGGCTGAGAGACTCTCTGCTTACATTCACCCCACGGCATCCAGGCTAGCACCAGAGAGAGACAATATAAAAAAAAAAAAAAAAAAAAGGAAAAATAAGCACTTAAATCAAATATTTTGCCAGAAAAATAGAAACTTGAATGCCTTTTTGCTCACGTGACTTTAGTAATCTTTTGGAAATAAAGACAGTTTTAAAGATTATTGGTAAAATAAAATGTCTTGAAAATGTAGACATTTATCTAACTTTAGGTCAGATATCAGACTTGCTAAATGCTTTAAGGTCAAACTGTTTCTCTGACTTTTGAAAACTGTTTGATTTACCTACTTCGGAGCATTAGATGACAGATAAGGCCTGGGGACATATGGAGAGCCAGGCCCGTCAGCTATGCTAAGAGTCAGACCTTATCTTCATTTCTAGCTGATGTCCTAGGCTCCACCCCAGTACATAATTAAAATCAGTTACTTATCAGATTTTTCACTAAAAGTAAAAGTTGCTAAGATTTAACATTGTAACATGTAGTTGAGACCACTGGAGAAAGTTTTACATACAAGGTGTGTGGGGAATATGCTTTTGGTAAAAGATTATAAAAAGTCACAGGAATTTGGCTTTTGTTAAAGGGAATGTAATTTTGTCCATTCAGATGATTTTAAAGATTGTCTTAACCTAAAAGAGTAATGGAACAAAACTGAAGGTTTAAGCAAAGTGAAAAGGGTTTGTAAAGGGTTGACCTTGTAAAAATTCTGTGAGTATAAACAAATTGGCTAAGATTAAAAGGAATTATTTAACTTTTTTCCTTAGGTTAAAACATTAAAATCATACTGATGTGGGGCCAGAATCTGGGCCTACTTTTCCGAATTACAGGGTTTTCTTAGAAAATTAATCTGCTGTTTGATGGAAAATTGTAAAGGATTCTAAAAAGTTTATGAAAATCTTACCTTGGCCAGGTGTGGTGGCTCATGCCTGTATTCCCAGCACTTTGGGAGGCTGAGGCAGGCGGATCACGAGGTCAGGAGATGGAGACCATCCTGGCTAACATGGTGAAACCCCGTCTCTACTAAAAGTACAAAAAACATAGCCGGGTGTGGTGGCTGGCGCCTGTAGTCCTAGCTACTCGGGAGGCTGGGGCAGGATGGCGTGAACCTGGGAGATGGAGCTTGCAGTGAGCTGAGATCGTGCCACTGTGCTCCAGCCTGGGCAACAGAGACAGACTCTGTCTCAAAAAAAAAAAGAAAAAAAAAAGGAAAGAAAATCTTACCTTATGGTGAAACTAGTTAAGACTGGACAGAGACAACATTTTATTTTAAAAACTAGCTTTGGTGGACATGGTGGCTCATGCCTGTAATCCCAGCGCTTTGGGAGACTGAGGCGGGCATATCATGAGGTCAGGAGATTGAGACCATCCTGGCTAAGATGTGAAACCCTGTGTCTACTAAAAATACAAAAAAATTAGCCGGGAGTGGTGGCGGGCGCCTGTAGTCCCAGCTACTCAGGAGGCTGAGGCAGGAGAATGGTGTGAACCTGGGAGGCAGAGCTTGCAGTGAGCTGAAATCGGGCCACTAGCTTTAACATTAAAGCTTTAACATTAAAGATGCACTAATGCAAAATAATAATAATAATAATAACAGAAAACTTTCCAAAGCTCAAGAAAGTTATAAATATCCAAGGACAGAAAGATCAGAGAACACCAAGCAGATTTCGCCCAGATAAGACTACCCTAAGGCATATAATAATCAAACTCTCAAAAGTCAAGGACACAGAAGGGATCCTAAAAGCAGCAAGAGAAAATAAGCAAATAACATATAAAGGGATTCCAATTCATCTGGCAACAAGACTTCAACAGAAACCATAAAGCCAGGAAGGAATGGGACGGCATTTTCAAAGTGCTGAAAGAAAAAAAAAAAAAACTGCTATCCAAGAATACTGTATCCAACAAAGCCATCCTTTAAGTATGAAGGAAAGATAGTCTTTCTCTGACAAACAAAAACTAAGAGAATTCACCATCCCCAGACCCATCTTAAAAGAAATACTAAATGGAGTCCTTCAATCTGAAAGAAAAAAACAATAATGTGCCAAAAGAAAACATAGAAAGCACAAAACCTACTGGTAAAATTAAGTACAAAGACAACCCCAGAATACTCCGATACTGTAATTAAGATGTAAAATTCACTCATAACTCTAATACAAAGCCTAAAAGAGAAATCTATCAAGAACAATAGTAGCTACAGCAACCTGTTAAGAAATAAGCAATATGGCCGGGCGCAGTGGCTCAAGCCTGTAATCCCAGCACTTTGGGAGGCCGAGGCGGGCGGATCACGAGGTCAGGAGATCGAGACCATGCTGGCTAACATGGTGAAACCCCGTCTCTACTAAAAATACAAAAATTAGCCAGGTGTGGTGGTGCGTGCCTGTAATCCTAGCTACTTGGGAGGCTGAGGCAGGAGAATCATTTGAACCCGAGAGGTGGAGGTTGCAGTGAGCTATTGCACCATTGCACTCCAGCCTGAGTGACAGAGCAAGACTCTGACAAAACAAAACAAAACAAAACAAACAAAAAAAGAGAGAGAGAGGGAGATAGGCAATATAAAAATATGTGAATTCAGATAACAAATAGTCAAAATGTGGGGAGATGGAGTTAAAGTGCAAAGGTTTTATTTTGTTTTGTTTTTGGTTTTCCTTTATTTCTGCTCTTTTTTGTGATCTAAGATAAGTTATCATCTCTTTAAAATAAGTTATCAGTTTTTTTGTAAGCACCATGGTAACCATAATGCAAAACCTATAACAGATACAATGAAAATAAAAGGTGGCCATTTGTGGTGGCCATTCATGACTGTCATCCCAGCATTTTGGGAAGCTGAAGCTGGCAGGTTGCTTGAACCCAGGAGCTTGAGACAAGCCTGGGCAACATGGTGAAACCTCATCTCTACAAAAAAAGTACAAAATTAGTTAGGTGTGGTGGCACATTCCTGTAGTCCCAGCTACTTGGGAGGCTGAGGTGGGAGAATCACCTGAGTCAAGGGAAGTTGAGGCTACAGTGAGCCATGATTACACCAGTGTACTCCAGCCTGGGTGACACAGTGAGACCCTATCTCAAACAAAACAAAACAAAATAAAAAACAGAACAAACAGAAAACAAGCAACAAAATGGCAGTAGTAAGTCCTTACTTATCAATAATATGCTGAATGTACACGGGTTATTCAATGTTATTATTAGGTTTAATTGGAGAATTCAGTCAATTCTGTAATTAAGAGACAGACAGTGGCTGAACGGATAAACAAGGCCCAACTATATGCTGGGTGATATTAACTAATATGTTATTATCACATGAACACAATCAAGAATAAGAAACCCAACTTAGCAATTGAGACATAGACTGAAAGTGAAGAGATGGAAAAAGATATTCTATGCAAGTGGAAACCAAAAAAGAACAGGAGTGGCTACACTTATATCACATAAAATAGACTACAAGTCAAAGACTGTAAAAAGTGACAAAGAAGATCAATATATAATGATAAAGGGGTCAATTTAGCAAGAGGATATAACAATTATAAGTATCTATGCACTCAACACTGGAGCACCCAAGTATATTAAGTAAATATGAATAAACCTAAAGGCAGAGATAGACTGTAACACAATACAGTAGGGGACTTCAGCACCCCACTTTTCAGTAATAAACAGATCATCTAGACAGAAAATCAACAAAGAAGCATCAGAGTTAAACTACACACTAGACCAAATAGGCCTAACTGACATTTACAGAACATTTCACCCAACTGCTGTAGAATACACATTGTTTTCAGAAACCCATGTAACATTCTCCAAAATAGACTATATCTTAGGCTATAAAACAAGTCTGAACAAATTCAATAAAGTAGGAATTTATATCAAATATCTTTTCTGACCACAATGGAATAAAACTGGAAATCAATAACAACAGGGATCTCAGAAACTACATAAACACACAGAAATTAAACAACATGCTCCTGAACAGCCAATGGGTCATTGAAGAAATTAAGAAGAAAATTTTTTAAATTTTTCAAACAAATCAAAATGGAAATAAACATAACAAAGTATATGGGATATGGTAAAAGCAGTACTAAGAGGGAATTTCACAGCAATAAATGCCTATATCAAAAAAGTGAAAAGACTTCAAATAACAACCTAACAATGCACCTCAAGGAACTAGAAAAACAAGAACAAACCAAATATATTAGAAGGAAATTATTAGAATGAAAGAAATAATAAATATCAGAGCAGAAATAAATGAAATTAGACTAAAATATAGAGAAGATCAATGAAATGAAAATTGGTTTTCTGAAAAAATAAAATTAGCAGACCATTAACTAGGCGAAGAAAAAAGGAGAGAAGTCCCAAATAAATAAAATTAAAAATTTTTAAATTTTTAAATTAAAATTAAAAATCAATTTTAATTAATTTTTACATGGGCATGATTACAGGCGTGAGCTGCTGTGCCCGGTCTAAAAATCTGTAGCATTTCTATGCAATAATGAACTAGCAGAGGAAGAAATCAAGAAGGCAATCCCATTTATAATAGCTGCAAAAACATACAACAACAACAACAAAAAACCTAGGAATAAATTTAACCAAAGAGGTGAAATATCTCTTCAAGGAAAACTACAAAGCACCGAAGAAATAAATTGAAGAGGACACAGCAAAATGGAAAGCTATTCCATGTTCATGGACTGGAATAGTTAGTTGTTAAAGTGATAATTCCACCCAAAGCAGATTACAGATTTAATGCAATTGCTATCAAAATACCAATGATGTTCTCAACAGAAATAGAAAAAACAATCCTAAAATTCATATGGAACCACAAAAGAACCAGAATAGTGAAAGCAAGCCTAAGC